ACAGATCCATTTTATCCATACACCTACAATCATCAGCAAATCCAAGTTTTCTCAAGCAGAAACTCAAATTTGTTTAACAAGCCCATATTGCACAAAATCACATTGATCTCAATTAAAGCCTTGACTAGCAGGAATGATTTTATTTTCTTCATTATGTACCAACCTTTCTCTATCTGACAGTCTGAAATCAGTCCATTGCTAGAAAAGGACAAACCTTCAATCTCTACCAGTAGCTTGCTCACATAGTTGAATGTTGTACGAAGTTTTCACTCTAGCTGTCCCCTGCAACTACCTCCCAATCAAATTCCTTGTCATAAAGTTTGTTGACTTCTCCAGGCTGCCCTACTCACCCCAAATACCTCCTTGTTGACCACAACAGGGAACATGCACACAGCGAAGCAGTGCCTCCATTCCAGGCCCTGTTCTCTGAGGATGCCCTTGCAGAGAGAAGCACACAGGGAGCTCTGTGGTAGAAAGTGGAACAAATTGTCCAAAACAAACTGTTCAGGAGGCTCTTTCCTAGCCATTCCAGTGTTAGCTGGCTTATGTTCTGACAAGACAGTACCTACACCCAGGACAAAAGAAAATTAGTAGGATATTTTTTCATTAGCAAAGCTCTACTTTTTTCAAACTTGGCCATACTCTTCACCTCACTATTGTGAGTAGTGATCTCTACAACCCTGTGACTGGGTGGGAGAAACAGTCACATTTATTCACTTAAAACTAAAACAGACCACCATTCAATTTTGGGAAAATAGCTTTAGTTTTTCCCATTCTAATAAAACCTCCATAATTTTTATAATATACTGAAATATGAGTCCTTGAAGTCATGCAGTTCTTCCTCCTCTCACAGAAGTACTACCAGTATCTCCATCATCTTTGACAGATGTTTACTTCTTTAACCAGTACCCAAGAGCCTCCAATGACAGATTTTACAACTTACATGATCAGTCTCTATACTAAGAGATTATAAATAAAACCAAAAATACCCCTATTCCCTCACTGATGAAGCCTTCAGAGGTGTCCCACTACTACTGTCCTCTGAGTTCCCAGTCTTCTGGCTTATTAGTCATACAGATTACCAAAACCAGAAAAACATTATTGTAAGTATATGCCATGGATTTACAATTGCTTATGCGTTATTCCCTGCCCCACTTCCCAATCAGACTAACAGTTTATGTGATTTCTTATTAGTTAGACACTAGGCAGCTCACAGGACATCCAAGCCTTTCTCCTGAATAGTGACATTTCATTTAAACCCACAATGTATCAGGAGATGCAAAACTCATATATGAAATTCATTGCTTGCCCCTTTTTCCAAATCACTGATAAATCTGTTATAGATCCTCTGTATCCATCAGACCTGTTGTTTAGTCTGTTCTAACACTGACGAGTTATTTATCATATATATTAAGTATTTGTTTACATGCTGGTGTGCTCTGACACTCTTCTTTCAGTGTTGTAAATGCCATTTCATAGGAGACATTTTATGTATTCACCACAAAATCCTATGACCAAATTTGATAAGTAGATAGCCAAACAAAAAGAGGACTGAGGATAAGGAAAGGAGTCACATCAGCAATACACAATGAATTAGCAATCTTGGAGTGTAGCTAATATTAAACGGTAGAGATTAGTAGGAATTATGAAATAACACCCATTAGCAGAAAATAAATATGGATAATGACTTCTACTGCCACAGAGAGCTTCCTAAGCATAGTAAAGAGGATGAAGACCAAGATCACTATGGGAAAAAGAAGGTGATTTGAACTGACAGCAAGTACATTGTAAATACAGCTATGACTCCAGAGTTAAGAAAGGCACATAGACCTTTATAGGGGTATCTGGTGGATAAAAGGCAAGAAGATTGGCTTTGGAAGGAAGATAAAGTGGGAACAGGAAAAGGACACAGCAGCAGACGAAAAAGGTCAGAACAATGTGAGAAGAAAATGAACCTCTCAGCAGGTTCTTGTGCGCAGATGACACAGCCAAGGTCGCCAGCACAAGGCACCAGGTGAAGGCTCCTGCAATCCAGTCACAAGGGGACAGATGTCTGGACAAGAGTTTTGACAGGACCAGCACCACGGACCTTCTCAAGACTAAACAGGCAGATAGATACCTGTTTGAATAAGAAAAAGACAAAAGAGAAAGAAACAAAGAAAAAAGCAGGGGAGAGAGACATAGGCAGGATCCATTTAAGGGATCCAGCCAGCAATGAGGCCTATGGTAGGGACTGGAGGATAGAGGAAACTGAGGAAAGTAATGATCTGCAGCAAGACTAGTAACTTGTTCAACAAAATATAAGAAAACAGCTGGACACCTAGAGAAATGTCATAAAGACTGCCTGAAATGTACTACTGGAGAGCAGAAAATGCATTGATAAAAAGATAATCAACATAAATGTGGTGATTAAAGCCATATTTGTCCATACAGATGCTAGAAAAATAGAGCAACAACAACAACAACTAAGTACAGCATGAAGCCTTTGGGGGGAAAAACAATTCTTCCCACAAAAATTATGTGCAAGATGCTGATGAAACTGAACAGGAGTAAAAGCATAGTAAAAATAAATAACTGAAAGAGATTTAAACTTTCTAAAAGCCCAGCTGCTAACCAGAGGTGTAACAAACTATCAAGGTCTCAAGCAGGTGAGAATGAAGAGTCCCACTTGAGAGTTTTAACCTTTGGAAGATTTCACTTTTCAGGGGGATCCCTTCTGCCTGGGACGAACAAGGAAGAATACATCATCTAAACTGGGAATATGGAAAAGCACAAAGGCAGGATCAGGTGCACAAGAGCAAAGGGCAAAGTGACCTTAGCAAAGGAACATACGTTTCCAGAAAGATCAAGTGAATCCAAGAGCTAACTGCCCATAGGAAATACTGCAGAATTATCCTGTTAATTTAAGTGTCCACAAAGCAAAAAAAAAGATTTCTCACAACATTCTACCTCTGTTTGGTTCTCCCCATTTTTTGAGGGGGGAGAGAAAATAATTTTCAATAACCAAATTAAATAATGTTATCACAGATAGAATAAAAAAATTAGTCATTTGAAGGAAAGATTGGTCCCTAGAATTAGAGCAGAATCTGACTCCAAGAAATTCCACTAAAGTCTGCAATGCAACTTGATTTTTCACTTAATTCATTCAGGTGTTGACACACTTTGGGTAGTAATAAAACAGAGGAGCCAGTGCTAGGCAAACTCAAGGCAATGACTGGCATGGCACATTCTCTTATTTGGCAGGATACAGCGCCTGGAGAGATAAAACAGTTATAGGTTTTTTTAATCTTTTTTAAGTAATGGAAAAGTGACTACCCCAACCCATGTTTTGATCAAAATGAACCTGAGATGAGGAAAAAACTAAAGGAAAAAACAAACCAGGCACCAAAGCAGAACTAAAGGAGATGATAATGAAGGAGAGGAGAGGGTGATACAAGAGGTGTTCAGGCACCAGAACTACAGCCAAGAAGCCCCAGCCTCGGCAACAAGAAGCAGAAAGATATTTACAGATATTCCAGGCTAATGCATATATTCAAGTAAGATGCCACGAGCAACAAATCCCCCAGGGTAGAAAAGGCAGACTTTCCAGGCATCCAAATAAGTAATGGAAATGAGTTCTGCTATATTCATTCCGGTATAAATTAAAAATTTCCCAGGCTTAAGAGCCCTGCATGCTGCTTTCACACGAAGGCCAGCTAGATGTGGAATAAGCAAATTCACATAACTATTTTTGCCACTCTTCTTGATACTAAAGGAAGAGCACTGGTGTGCAAATGCCAAGGGAAACTTTAGAAAAGGCAAAATCATCCCATCTGCCACCCTCCCAACTTGCTTCTGGTTCTGCTCAGATACAGCCATCACAATCCAGACCACCTTGACAAACCCACATGTCCACAACTAAACCACTGCTCTCCGTCACCCCGAAGAGCTGCCAACCTCGCCCAGCCTGCTCCTGTACACTGGCACCACATCACCTCTTCACAGCTCCCACCACGGCAAAGGCCACCTCAGAGTCCTTAGCCCTGCCAAATCCACCATATCCAGGATCTAAACGAAACACACAAGATCCTACACATCTGGAGTAAGCCTGAATCATGGAGACAACTCAATAGCCTGCCTGGAGCCCCACAGGTTTCTGTGACCTCTGTACAAGAGCCCCCACCTGATGTCTTCAAAAAGGTGTCACAGGAGCTGCCAGGATCCTCAAGAAAGAAGCACTCGGGAATACCAGCATCCAAATAATATCACATTCCTTCGGGCTCTTTAACAGCCTTATTTCTGTTCAATGTGTATTAATGCTAGAAATCCAAATGTTATAAATGGTGACTGCTCTCAGACACTGGAGTCATTTAAAGAACGTTTCCAATGGCAGCAAAACAGGGTGAACATTTCCCCTTAAATGGAGATCGAAGACCTGATTCTTAAACAAAAGCTGGAACATTTTTAAAGACCTGAAGGATTGCTTTAATTAAGCATGGCACCCTGAAATTCTCTCGTGGGTGAGTTTCCATAGACTGTTACAGACCTGCAGAGCTAATCTCTTCAAGCCCCTGAAAGTCACCTGTTAAGTAGCCAGAGGATACAAATGAGCCAAGACTGGAGACAAGAACCAGAGGCAGCACCCCAAGGCTTCATCAGGCTCTCATCAGAACTGTTTTTCAAAACACAAGTTTGATTACAGAACAAAGTGTCCTACAAGCCCATATGGGTTAGATCCAGTGCAGATTCTGCACCATGATCAGGCTGAAAAGCATGCTATTCACCATTCATGGAGAATCACAGCAGAAAGCACAGCACACATCCCCCCAGACACAAGCCTGTATTAACAATGAATCAGTGCATAGGCTGGGGGTTCTACAGACCCCAGTGCTCTCCTGGTGATGCAGCTATCAGCGCCCCAGGAGCACACTGCAGGAGCCGATCCAGCCCAGCACAGAACCTCCAGTTTCCACTCATCCCTCTATTCAGAGCCAGCCAGCTCACTAACTTTCCCGACTCACCACCCCATGGACCAGAAACTCAAAAAGTTTGCTTTTCGTAGCTTTGCGAGCCCCTCCTGTAACTTCATCTGTAGCCATCAGGGTCTGCTCAGCCTCTCTCACTCTCTCTCTTCCTCTTTCTTTCCCTTTTCTGCCTTTTTCTCCAACTCTCCCCTCTGAGTCCTGCTGGGCTCTCACACTTCTAATAGCACGGAGTGGGGAGGGGGCCCCTTCAGGGCCTTCCTGACGGCCCACTCGAGCTCAGCCTCAGCTGCTGCATTCCTCCACTGATAAGCCAGAAATAGTTTGTGCTGCCGGGCTCTGTCTGTTTACTCTGCAGGGACAGAAAATCCAGCTTTTTAAACCTCTCTGTCCAAACAGCAGAGATAAGCAGGAGGCAAATTGAAAAACACGTCTCAGTTTTCCCTGGTAGTGCTGCAGCCTCTCCTCCTCTGCATCAGGGATGGGAAATTCTGGGGCAGGGGGAAGGGGGAGGGGGCAACTTCAGCAGTGACAGAGCTCAGCACCTCGCAGAGATGTTTTCCCATTAGAAAATGCAGGCGAGCAGTGGTTTTCCCTTGCTCCCACTGCTCCTCCCGCACTGCATTTCCAGGCCCTGTCCCCAGGGACCTGGCAGGCAGCACACAGAAACATTCGCTGGCAGCATTTCCAGCATGAGAGACGAGAGCTAACCCCTCCGGACAAGAGAGAAGCAGCAGGAGGCCGGAGCTGGGAACAGGGAGGGACAACATGTGGAAGCGAGGGGAAAGAAAGTGTGTGAGACCAGCGGAGGAAGGGGGCGGGGGGCAGCATGGCGGCACAGCTCCCACGGCCTGCTTCCAGCCCCCACTCCCACCGCCTCTCCCCAGTGACCACGCTCGGGATGCCGTGGTACCACTGTGGTGGATTCTCTAGAGCCCAGGCTGACTGACAGACGCAGACACATTATTAACACCACAGCTGCTCTAAGACATCAGCAGTTCGCTGCTTGTCACACAAAGCCCTGCACGACAGCGTGTGCTATCCCAGGACTCTGCTGGGAACACGGGAACAAGGGGGGAGGCAGAAAGGAGCAGCAGCGCAGCGCCTGTGCGGCCCGGGCGAGCGCGGCGCTGGCAGCACGGCGGCCATTCCGCACGCGGAGCGCGGCCCCTCCATGATGGCCGAGCCCGCGGTGACGGCCCGCGGCTCCCGTCTCGTCCGGCAGCTCTCAGGGCCCGCGGACCCTGGTCTCCCTTAACACAGCAATAGGCGAGATGTTGCCAGCTTACAAGAGGGGTTTATTCTATTCCTCTGCTTGAAATTCTTGTCTGGGGGCTGTGAATTTTCTGGCAAGACGGCAAACAACAGGATCAGATCAGAAACAAATAAAAATTATTCTGCCTCATCCAGTAATAAAAACAAGCACAGAAAAGACACTGCATTGACAAGCAATGAAGGGCAAGCCATGAAGGTCACATGGCCTTCTGAACATGGGGGTGAGGCCAGTGACCTCCACTGATTTTTAGGGTCACCCCAATCTACGTGCTATTGTGTGGCAACAGCCCTAGGAATCACAGAAACTTAGGGAGGGTGAGCGTGGTTATCAGCTCCCCCTCTCAGCCCCTCAGAAGGAATATGCCAAGCAAATCAACATAGCCTTGCCTTGGTTTGTGCTGGAAAAATTCCTTGAGTTCTAGCTGAACTAAAGGAACATATAATCTGGAACCAAATGCTGCATGTCTGGTGGACGTTGTCATCTGAGGTTAACTTGATCTGAAGGGCTTTTTCCAACCTAATCAACTCTAAATTCTACATGGCAGCGTGACTGGCAAGGCAGCATGCAGCTGGTATCTGCTATGTTTTTTAGACCCCAGACTCACACAGGAATGTTGGCTCCCATCATGTGAGCCCGTTCCCTGCTCCCGGCAGACACCGTGCATTTTCCTCACAGTCTGCACTAGCTGTTGCTGCCGCACTGGCCGGCGGTCTCAGTCCCGCCCGTGGGGGGCACCGGCACCGGCCCCGGCCCGTGCGGCTGTTTCCCCCTCGCGGGGAGCCGTGCGAGCCCCATCGCGTGAAACGGCACCAAGGACGCGCCGCAGCGCCTCCTCCAGCAGCCGTCGTTACGGGCGCGGCGCGTCCCGCGGCCCTGCCCGTCCTGCCGGCGCGGGAAGGGGCGGCGGCGGCTCCGGGCTGCGGCGCGGCGCGCGGTCCCCCCTCGCGTCCCCCCGCGCTCCGTCGCCAGCACCAGCGGCACCGAATGGCAACGGCGCGCCCGGCACGGGCAGGGCGTGCGCCTGCCACGGTCCCGGCACCGCCGCGGGCGGGCGAGGACTAGCCCGGGCCAATCCGCCTGCCTGGGGCCGGACCGGACCGGGCCGGGCCGGGCCGGGCGAGCAGAACCGCGGCGGGAGCGGCGCGGCCCCGGGCGGACGCGCGCATGCTCGGCGCGACCCCGTGAAGGTCAGCGCGGGCCGGCGGGGACGCGCGGGCGCTTTAACCCCTCCCGCGCCGCGGCCGGCACCGCCCGGGGCGGGGCGGGGCGGCAGCGCCGGCGGAGGGCAGGCACGGAGCGCGACCCGGCTGTCCTCGGGCCGGGACGGAGCCCTCAGCCCCGGCCCTTTGTCCCCCGGCCGGAGCATACGCCCGGCTGTGCATTTCAGGGTTTTCTTGTTTTTCCCCTTAGCTGCAGACACGGCTTGGAGCCGCAGCCGCCCCGATCTCCATCAATAGCCACTGAATACCTTCTGGAGCAGGAGGACATTTGCTATGAAGTGGTAGTAATTTAAGCTGAAAACCATACCATATATATTGTAATTTACCTGGATGTTCTTAACAGACATCCAAAACCAGGTTTCCTTGAACATCAAATTCCAAGGCCAGCCACTTGAAAATTAAGGAATGGCAGCCTCGCTTCAGTGGTCAACTGAGTAAATGTAAAAAAAAAAAAAATGTCTAAAAATCCTGCAATAATAAAAACTCAGCTCTTAGCATGATGGTAGTTCTCCAAGCACTAGAAAAATCAGCACATGCAGCTCTTACGTTTTGCAAATGGAAAGTACGGTACAAATGGATGGAAGTGACTTGCCCAACGTTACCTAGCTGAGAATGAAACCCATTTCCTGTGATTCTTCAACCCTTCACAATAGTGTCCAGGAAAACTACTGTGTGAGGCATTTGCACAAAAGGGTGAAGGTTACCATACAAGAATGTAATTTCCCATATTAGGAGAAACAGCACATAATTTTATTTCAAATTGTTTGGTTTTCTATTTTCCCAACTTTTTTTTTCCCCCTAAAAGTGTAGAAAATAGTTGCCAACGTTCTTTCAAAAAGTGACTGATTTAACCCGAGTGATCCCCAAGTGCTGCAAGTATCCTGGCAGCTCCCAGCCATCTCTGACCTGGAAGGTCTCTGTGCCGTGGGGCTCTGTGCAAGCCCCGTGTTCCTCCACTCATTCCTGAAGGCTGAGCACGCGCTGGGGCCTCATTCGTACTCACTTTCAGCTCGCTTCATGTCCCATTCCCAGACCATTTCATTTCAGAGAAAGGCTGATCTCCTTCCCTGGTGCTTCCTGGGGCATTGGGAGCCCACTTGGTCTCTGTGTGTGTGGTTTGGTTTAACTTCTGTTGTTCAGGGCTTTTCAGGCTGTTCAGCTAAGAAGGTCTGATTAGAAAAGATATGAACCAAGCTGTTGTTTTAGGGAGACATGTTTGCTGCTACTTGCCATTTTTTGGTCTGTAGGTAATTATAGAAGTATATGAAGGTACTGATTGCTTTAAAAGGTGTGGTTTCCCTCATCCAAGTTTCACTTAAGTCAGCATTGCTCTTTCCACTGAAACTTAGAATATTCACAACAGTTTTGGAATTGATGCAATGTGGCATAGAAGACATGCTGGAACCAGAAAGTATCCCAAGACGGAGGCTCTGCTTAATCTAGAGAAATGTTCAATTGTTCCTGAGTTCAGAATTATTCAGTAGTCTCATTAACAATATAGATAATGTACTTAGAGAACATGCTTATTCAATTTCCTAGCAACATACAGTTTGGAGAGGTTACAAGTTTGCCACAAGAGATTATCAAAATTAAAATCCTGAGGACCTGGAGATATGTCCTGTTTTTTTCAAACCACAATTCAATCAGAAACAGTGCAGGATTCCACATAAGGATATAAATCAACATCTAAACAGAAGATGGAGAACAACTGGCTGAAGGGAGGTTTTTTTTCATAAAAAACATCTGGGGATATGATAGATCGTAAGCTAAATGTGAGTTAACAGTTCTACACTGTCACAAAATAAACAGATAAACCCCCAGAAGATCAGGAACTGCAGGAATGCTGCCCCACTGCTCTCATCCCCTTGGTGGCAGCACAGGCACTGACAACGGTACTCTAGATTCTTCATTCTTCCTCATTCCATCTCTCCTCCTTCTCCCCATCCCCTGAGCTCTCCAGGCCACAAGCTGTTCCAGCTCAACATTTCCTTAAGGTTGAAAAATTAAATGTTGCCAGAATTGCTGAGGAACTCTTCCAAAGCAATTCTGTCGTGGTTTGAATTGTCAGTGTCTCATCCAGACCAACCTTTGCCGTCGGGCTCTGTGCATCAGAGGAAATGTGGGAGAAACCAGGAAACCAGGATGGTTAAGGAAGGACAGTAAGTGTGACAAGAACTGTAAGGTCCAAACAAGATAAAGAGAAAACAACAGTCATCAGGTCTCCAAAAGGCTGCTGCAAATACAGGGAAGAGCTGCTCCCCATGCACAGAGTACAGGAAATAACGGCTTGAATTTCTCCGGGAAGATTTATGTCAGATATTCAGGAGAAGCACAGGAGTGACAGTAGAGATGTTCTGGGATAGTTTGTCCAGCAAGGATGAGACTCCTGACCGCCAAAGGTCTTTCAAGAACAGGTTAGACAGGCATCTATCCAGAGTGATGTAGGTGGTGTGGATTCTGACTTTGGACAGGACAGAGGACCAGCTGATTTCCAGAGGTTCCTTTTGCCTTATTTCCCTACAGAAACTGACATTTTGTAACACAGAGGTTCCTTTCTCTGTTAGGCCTTTCCAGTACTTATTTCTAAAATCTGTTAGGGAGGGAGGGAGGGAGGAAGGGAGGAAGGGAGGAAGGAAGGAAGGAAGGAAGGAAGGAAGGAAGGAAGGAAGGAAGGAAGGAAGGAAGGAAGGAAGGAGATAGAGAAGTGTTTGTCTCTATCTCTG